TTAATTTCTATTACATGATTTGCATCAGGAGATCCCCTCGACAGGCCATCGCCTCTGGGATATCATTTAATAAAGATTATTATAAAAGTATAACACGTCTTCCATGATGTTGATAAAAAATTACTTCAAAGTATCCTCGACAACTGCAACAACAACAACAACAAGGGCAAGTAATGCAAGGCTGGCAACAACTGACAATTGCCAGTACATGTACTTCATTCTTCTTTTCTTGCAGCAGAGAGCCCAAATGGAGGTGTTTTGTTTTACAACCAGAGAGTAGTACAGTACCAAGAGTACCCTTGACAATACCAATGTACTACTCCCTTACTTACAACAAAGGAGTAATGCCCTGATGGTGCCCAATGGGTGAAATATTGGCAAAGTCATTTTAGTGGAAAGGAAGAGGACATTATGGATACGAGTTAAGAGTAACTCTCCATCACTGTAACTGGATACTATATACAGTCAGAAAGTGCAATAACTAGGCACAAAACTGACAAGAGTACTGAGACATTCGACGTCCTGACACCTAGCTTCAACACATCTCCGTAGCGCTAACCGACAGCCTTCCAACTAGGATGGTTCAAGGTTATAGAAATACCAAAGAGGGGAAGGCAAGCGCAACGAAAACGACATTCTTTGTTCGACATTCTTTGTTTCGTTGTGACTGTAGCTTTTGCTCGTTTTCGTTGCGCTTGCCTTCCCCTCTTTGGTATTTCCATAACCTTGAACCTTCCAAGTTGGAAGGCTGTCGGTTAGCGCTACGGAGATGTGTTGAAGCTAGGTGTCAGGACGTCGAATGTCTCAGTACTCTTGTCAGTTTTGTGCCTAGTTATTGCACTTTCTGACTGTATATAGTATCCAGTTACAGTGATGGATAGTTACTCTTAACTCGTATCCAGATGTCCTCGTCCTTTCCACATTATTTATTTATGGCTCAACATCCGAGTTTCAAAGTTATTTTATTTATCTATTTGGTGCAGCTGAGAGCCTGTTGCCGGAATGGCGGTATTTTCAAGTGAAAGGAGTAAGCTAGTGCAGCACAAGTATTGTTTTTTCATTGTCAGTTTGTGTTTTGTTCCTGTGTCATGTTTCCTCCTGCTTGCCTTGCAAGCTTGTCTTTCCTCTTTTTGTTGAGCTTGAAAAAGTACGTACTGAGTACTGTACTCCCTGCTTACAACTGAAAAAGTGTGAAAGCCAACAACTGTGTACCGTGATGGCTGCGCTGACCCCTGACAAGTCGAGCTATATACAGATAGTGCACGGATTGGTCCTCGGCAGAATATTTTTCTCCTCGGATCCGTGCACTATCCTATACATAGTGATAGATCTGTTCTTGTGACTAGACGAGACCACACGACCCTTGCAGACACCTGCACGAACACTGCACCAGCCACACTCCACAAGAGCTGTAGACGGTGCTGAATGAAGATGGCATTAACAAATTATGACTTCTCCTGGGCCAAGAGCAAGCCATTATTGACTTCTCCTGGGCCAGGAGCAAGCCATATTGTCCCTGAAGAAGAAGAAAGCCCCTGGACTTGATGGGATCGTGGCGGAACTGATTCAGCATGCATCCTCAGTTTGTGTTCTATTCCTACATAAACTTTGTTTGGAGATTTGGAAAACAGGGAGATGGCCAAAAGCATGGAAACGTCAAGAAATCGTGATGCTACCCAAAGCTGGATCAGCTAAGGAGTGTTTCAACTATCGGACCATTGCTTTGATGTTTTTTGTTTTTTTTTACTATGTTCACATTCCCAGCTCAAAAGTAATAAAGAAAGACAATGATACTGAGACTATGTCACATGCAAGCAAGATCCTTCTGACAATAATCTTGAATCGTATGAAAAAGAAGATAGAGGCTGAGTTACCAGATGAGCAGGCTGGTTTTCGAGCTGGTCGCAGTATTGTAGATATGCTCTGTGTTCTGCAAATCATTGAGAGAAGAGCGGGAGAATTATCGCAAAGGGCTTTATACAGGAGGCAGAGGGCAGCGATGGTGCGGCGAATTATGAGGCTAGGAAGCCAGCATTGCGGATGTATTGCCTTGATGGTTCGCTCCTGCACCCAGTCCAGCCGATTCAAGTGGGAAGGAGCTGCCCCCATCCAGACGATTGGGCAGTACTCCATAACCGGCCGGACAAAGGCTTTGTAGGCTCGAAGCCGGGCAGGAATAGTCAGCAAGTAAAATGCCTTGCGCAAGGCTCCAAGTCTCTGCGCTGCTCGGACTACAACAGTTCGGATATGCTGGCTGAATTTTAGCTGATGGTCAAACGTGACGCCGAGTACTTTGATGGAGGGCTGCTCCTCGACAGGAGTTTCATTGAAGACAATGGGGGGTATTGGCCAGTCGCGACGATGGTGGGAAATTGTAAGGGCCTGAGATTTGGCTGGCTCGAACTGCACTTTCCAATCCGTGCCCCAACTGGATACTAGGTCGACAGCAGCCTGGAGTACTCTAGCGTTGTCAGGAACAGCAGCGAGAGTTGCAATTTCGGCGTATAGGGTTGTGTCGTCGGCGAATGAGGCAAGGTTGGAGCCGATTGGGAGGTGGTCTTCAAGGTCGTTGACGTAGACCAAGAATAAGGTGGGGCCCAGGATACTGGCCTGTGGCACCCCAGCCTTAACTGGGCATCTGGCTGATGTCTGGCCGGAGATGAGGACTTGAAGTGTGCGGTTGCAGAGGTAGTCTTGGAGCCACCGATGCAGGTCTCCCGAGATTCCATACACTCTAGCCTTGTGCAACACACCAGTGTGAGACACCCGGTCAAATGCTCCAGCAATGTCGATGGCCAGCACTCGAGAAGCTCCTTTATCTCCGGCGGTGTGCACCCACTGGTGGTGGAGAGCAGTCAGCAGGTCTGCTGCACTGTGGCCGCGACGGAAGCCAAATTGCCGTTCTGACAGGACGTGATTCGTCTCCATGAAGTTGCTCATTGCCCTGTTGACTATGGTCTCCATGACCTTGGAGAGGATGCTCAGTAACGACACTGGTCGATAGTTTGATGGCGACGATTTAGACTTGCGCTTGTGGACTGGAACCACGTTTGCAACCTTCCACTGTTGCGGCTGGATGCCGGAGCGAAGACAGCATGTAAATAGTTTTGAAAGCGGCCGTGCCAATTCTGCAGAGCAAGCTTTCAAGACGCGGGCAGGTATCCCATCTGGACCAGTGGCCTTGGTGGGGTTGAGCTGGCGGAGAGTTCGCTCGACTGTGGTCTCGCGAAACCGGACGGTGCAGAGGTTGCGGTCAGTACGTGGTCGGACGTGAGGAAATGGAGCGGATAGGTCGTCTGCCCCTAGACTGCATTTGTTGGCGAAGTGTTCGGCCATGCACTCTGCTTTGCTGCGGTTGGTGTCGTGCTCCGTACCATCGGTGCTGCGGAGAGTAGGTATTGATGGGCTGTTTCCGTGGCCAGAGGCCTTCTTGATGGTTCGCCACCATTCACCAGACGCCATACACCCAGAGGCTAACTTCTGCGCCAGGCTTGCTGTGAATGCCTGCTTGGCAGTTGCCAGGCAATGGTTAGCTGAGTGCTTGGCGACATTGTAACAGGCTTGCAGCTGGGCACTTGACCGGTCGGCGCAGAGTCTCCTCCATGCTCTTTGTTTCTGTGCTACAGCCTCAGTGCATTCCGGTGTCCACCAAGAGGGGTTAGATGGTTACATGCACAACTGCTTAGACGGTATGTATCGGCGCATTCCTTCCAGAATATTCTGGGTCAAGTGCATACACATTGCATCAGGATCATCACTGACAGTGGACTGCCAATCTGTTGTTCTAAAGAAGTGGCGGAGTCTGTCCCAGTCTGCGCGTTGGTAACGCCAGACAGTTCTGGTCACTGGTGGTTCTTCTGCCGTGCTTACATGAAAGTCAGCTAGGACACAGGCATGGTCAGAGTTTCCCAGAGGTGCTAAGGTATTGACTGTCGCATCTCCCGGTAGGTCAGTCATTATTAAGTCGAGTGGGTTAGGGCCGTTTCACACGAGGTACAAAATCGCGTACATGTCACGTTTCCGGTTATGTTCCCTAGGAGATAGAGCACTTTTGGCGCGATATGTGAAACGCATCGTGTACGTTTTCAGCAAGACCAGGAGGGGTGTAGAAAGCAGGATATACCCAGCGTTCTACTGACAAACTTCGTTTTCCTTGCATTGTGATCTGTCGTCGTGTTTGTTTTTTTAGCTTCTGTTTGCTTTCATTGCTGGTTGCTGGTTGTGCCTTCCGTTTCGGACAATGCCTCGCCAAATATTCTCTGATGACCTGGAGGCTAGACTTATTGAGTTGTGGGCCGACTATCAAAAGTCAAGAAGTGGCCAGATGGTGAAGCGTATTGTGAGGGAAAGGGAGATCGCCGAGAAACTCAATGCTGCGTTCCGCTCAGGATGGTTGAATCCCGAGAAAAACTTGAAATTACACTTTGAACAAGCGAGGGCAATGCAGTCCTTCTACGCCTCGCCATCCTTTGCAACCTCTCTCGGCCGTTCATCTTTCTCTCCTTGTGGCGATCAAAGAAAACGAGAATCAGGAAGAGAACATCTCCTTGCCAAACTAATAATAATTATTATTATTTTGTGTTCAAAACTCCCGCGTTCGCGTGCGGATTCCGTATTTTACTACTTCTGTGCGAGGCAGGTCAAAGCTGCCATGGCAACTGCTGCTTGAAAAGCATGTTGCGACACTCGTGTGAAATCACGCGCTGTGTACTGTGCCTAGAACGCCCATGCACCATTTGTGAAAAGCCATGTATACCTCGTGTGAAACGGCCCTTAAGGCCCCTGGTGGGCTCATGCACGTGCTGCTCCAAGCAGATGTGCAGAAATAATAGAATAGAATGCAGAGTCACTGCAGTGACTTATTATGCACGACACTGCATTGACAACATGACTTCAGGTATGCATTTGGGAGAATAATGTGCAAGAAATTTGAAAAAGGGCCTGATGTAGGTCTATTTATAGGAGGATTCCACTGCCTTTGTAACAACGAACTCTGGACG